CGTTGTGGAAGTGCATTTAAACACTCGCCTTGGTTACGGTTGCCAACTGCGTGTGACGTAATAAAACTATAAGAATGGAGCTCACTGCAATGTAATTTACAGTTAATTTATGGTCATTTATAGTTACTGCCGTTGTCACCCTTTATATGGGATTTAATATAAGCACGTAGGTATAGGTATATCCAGAAATAAACAAGATATTAGAAAGCAGCAAATCAGTAACTGAGATGTTTGCTTGAGTGAATAACATTAGCATATAGCTCATGGTAATATTACTCTTCACATTTTTCTTATCGAAGCTAACAATTACTTAGCGTTCTCGCTACTCACCATGCTGCAAAACAGGTATATGTTAGCAATGACACCATTTAACAGATATTAAAATGCTAGACTACTTGCACTAGGATGCTTGACGTATTTCCGTTTCCAGCTCTAGTGGTCATAAGCGAACTTAGGCCTGTGCCAACCTTGAGCACGAACATCAATCTTGTAAAGCTCACTATTAAACTGACAAAAAGCCTTAGAGCCTAGAAACTATGATACTTACAACTGTGCTATGTTTGTCTCATAGCATATAGCAAGACCCCATAACTGACCTTTGACCTCTTCTCAAGATTAGATAATGCTATATAGAGCTATTTTAACACTATGTTTCTTACTGCCATTGTCTGACATAATATCCTTGAATCTTTTTCTAATTCAACACTTAATATAAACACTGTATGTTTATTTAAAAATTAAGAATTAAAAACACTCCTTGTAATGCCAACTTTTGTTTTCAAATGTAAATAAAGTATATAAACTAACATACTGGACACTGTTCTGCTGAACAACACACATATTACCAATATTGTAGCTGGTGTTTTTTAGTAATTTATTATTTTATTTGTCATACAATTTAAAACTTTAATAACCTTTTCAATAAAACAAAGTATCAGATGTAATTATTCTGAAAGTCTAAGCTTCCCATAACGTTTTATTGCAAGTTACATTACTGACATAATAAACATAAAATGTTTGTATTGTTCATCCACAAGTCCAGTCTCTGGCTCAAACAACACAGAAGCTTGGTGTGTTTGTTTCTCAGTCCAGGCATTACTGCTTGAATGCCTGTCATGAATTTAGGTAATTCAAATGCAATTGCCTAAAGAAAGTCTTTTACATTGTCCCAACTTCCCTTAAGTACAGTGGCTGGAGATGTGGGCTGGAGATGCAATGAAAGTAAAGAAGAGAAAACAATGTACAACGAGGGAAAAAAAATAACCAACTATATACATGGTGTATGCGTAAGAAACATTGAAACAGAAACATTGTGGGTGTATACAAGGGCAGTTATATAATAAATAGGGGTGAAATGGTAAATGGCCTGTATTTGTATAGCGCTTTTCTAGTCCCTTAGGACCCCAAAGCACTTTATACATCCAGTCATCCACCCATCCACACACAGGTGATGGCAAGGGGCGCACTGACAGAGGCGAGGCTACCAGACACTGGCACCACCGGGCCTTCTGACCACCACTAGTAGGCAACAGGTGAAGTGTCTTGCCCAAGGACACAACGACCGAGCCTGTCCAAGTCAGGGCTTGAACCGGCAACCTTCCGATTACAAGGCGACCTCCCAACTCTAGAGCCACGATCACTGGCTGGCTGGAGGGGCTATGGCCGTTTAGGGTGGTAATACCACTGAGATACCACTGAGACCAAAATATTGCACAGGACCATAAATATTGCACACACTAGAGATATGGCACATGAGCCAAAAATATTGCACAAAACATGGAAAGACTGAGATATTGCACATAGCTAATCAATAGCACCATCACAGTGGATGAACTGGGGAAGTCAGTTCATACTTTTAGTTTGCATTAAGAGTTCTGACAGCCCATGGGAAGAAGCTGTTCTTTACTCTGTTGATTTTGCACCTGATGGATCTGAACCTTTTTCCAGAGGGCAGGATGTTGAAGATGTGGTGGTTAGGATGGAGGTGGTCCTTTATAAAGGCTCTGGCTCTGAGCTGAAATTAAGTCTGGTGAGGGGAGTGGACAGCCGATCACCATCTCTGCAGTTCTGATGACCCTCTGTAGTATCTTCTTGTCTGCTGTTGTGCAACCAGCGTACCACACAGGGATGGCGTGCACCAGCGCACTCTCGATAGTGGCACGGTAGAAGGACACTAGGAGGTCAGTCTGAAGCCTGTTCTATCTCAAAACCATCAAGAAATGGAGGCTAGGAATGGTTGGCTAAATGGTACTCTGACTTTTTGTCAGTCTGGCTACAGTGCTGAAGTGAAACTCAGGGTTGTTCTTATTTTCTTCAATCAGTAATGAATAGTAAGATGTTCTAGCTTTATGGAGGGCTTTTTAAATAAAGCAGGCTAAATGATGATCTACTACATTTTTGCACACCATTTCATCTCCAGCTTACGAGTTATCTGTTAAATGTTCAGTTTCTATGTCGTATGTTAAAACAAGATCTAGAGTGTGATTAAAGTGGTGGGGGGGTTATTTTACTTTTTGAGAGAAGCCAGTTGAGTCTGATAACAGATTACACGCTGTCATTTTGAGCAATACAAATAATAAAACATTTTAAGTGTCAGATAATTTCAAATGCAACAAACATCAGTAAACACGAGCCCCACCCCCCCACCCCCATCCCTATGTGATTGTGGAATATATATGCAGATGATGTTGTTTTGGTCCTGTCAAATCCTGAGCGATCTGTTCCTGTACTATTAGATCTGGTGAGGTTGTTTGTTATACAATTAACTGGTAGAAGAGTGAGTTTGTGGCTTTAACTGCAAACCTGGATGTTGATTTCTTGAAA